ACTCGTACCGTTGAATTGACTACAGCTGACCTGACTTAGTAAACTAATCACGGAAAGACATTTCCTTGAACTATACCCCTCACGAGGAAGAAGGCAAGCCGCACAGAAGCTGTGTGGTTAAAAAAAAGAGCATAAGAAAAGATACACAATATTGGAGCGATGAATGTGGGGCACCGTTGGGTTACACGAATGCTTCAAGGCCTTCCTTACACTGCTCAAATTCTGAATCACCTGCTTCCTTTGACGAGATACCGGGTGCTCATATTATAAGGAAAGGTTACAAAAACCATCTTTTAAGATCATTTTAGTGAAAGTTTCATGCTTCAAGGCGTACCATTCACTGCTCAAATACTAAACAACCTGCTTCCATTACCGAGATACAGGGCGCTCATATTATAAGGTAAGGTTATAAAACCACCTTTTAAGATCATTTTAGTGAAAGTTTCATGTTCCTATCTCATAGAATTTAAGAACAATGAAGAATAAATCATTTTCGAGCAAAATTTAAATGGCCGGCTGAATATATTACCGCCGGAGACGCGGCCGCGGAATTTAAATGACCGCGCCAAAGGGTTAAACACCATATTTTTATGAATTTATAAATTGTACATAGTTATAGGTCATGATTCATAGCATACAAATGGTATAAAACTTATAAGCCACAAAAAAAATAGTACTTAAACAGAAGTGAACTCAACAATGAAAGAGCACACCCCAAAATACAAATGACAGTGACATGGAGGTCAAGAAAGCAGTAGAAATGAAGTAAAACTGAAAGAGAAAACAACAGCTGTGTGAATTTTAATTACAATAGGGAAGAACTATAATGAATTTTGATTGAAACAGTAAAACTATGGTATGAAAGTTCAAGTATATAAGAAATGAACAAGCAACAAACAAAATGGAAAAGATACTAGATTCTAACTAAAGTAACCTGTTATGTACGTGTCACAAATATAAAATTTAAACAGATGATATTTTAAATATGTAAAGGATTTTATATACCGTCATGTAAAGATAGGTACTACCGCAATTTCCAAACACAGCACCAACCTTTTGGGGCCTCTATGGCTGTATATGTGGATCCAGCTGGAACAGTGTACCCCTGAGTGAAAAGCTTGAAGTGATGAATAAGTGCTTCCATTGATGTCTGGAGAAGGCAAAAAAACATACACATGGTTATGATTTGTATAAAGGACCAGACACACATCTTTAGAGACATGTTACTTTAAACAGAATGCCTCCAAATGTAAAAGTACTGATCTCCTGGCTCTGCTTGCTAAAGACAACTTGGAAATCCACTTCTGACGTCATCATTACGATTTCACTGGATCTGCAATTTTCTCAACTGATTTCAGACACAGAAAATGTGACAAAAATCATTACCCATAATAACAAATGCTGCAATCATATCAGAATCACAGCTCTCTCAAGAAAATCATTCTGCTCTGAAACTGTATTAATAACCTCTCCATATGTGTAGGTGTACATGTGCCCATGAATGTTTTATACACATGCATATATGTGGGCATTTCTCTTACCAGATTCAACTATGAACATCATTAATATGTATGAACACTAAATGATAAATATGCATGCATCTCAATACAAACACTGGCAGTACTGATAAGCACTGATTATTAATTTTACATGTATGCATCCTTTTATTCACAATTTCTTTTTCATTATTTCAAATACATTTAAATGGACATATGCATTCATATTCCATTTAGTTTCTGATTGGATACAACACATTTGGAAAAGAGAATTTTTAGAACATAAGATTGAGGAGTTGACATAATCTGGCAGTGATTTCTCCTAAGCAGGGTGTAGCCAAGCAAGCATGCAGCAGTCCTTTATTATTATTATTATTATTATTATTATTAGAGCGGGTGGGTTTCCCCATGCACTTAGACCAGTTACTGGTCCATTGTGCGTCCCCCTTTAATTTCTACTGTCCCCATACCCTACCAGTACTGGTGTGTGCTATCAGCCCCGTTCAGCCAACGAGGTCAGCCGTCGGTACCTGATATTTCCCCCACCTACCAGAGGTGGTGGAAACTATTTGGGCAGGAAATTGTTGCCTAATTTTGCTCAGAGGTCTCCTAGAGACATGAGGATCTTTTACGTGCCGTAAATCTATAACACGGGACCCACGGCTTAAAGTCCTTCCCAGAGGACTTGTTCCCTGAATTTTTCCACCCTTAAAAATTCCACGACCTTCGCCAGGTTTGAACCCGCATACCTTGAGTCATGAGGTGGGAACGTTACCCCTAGACTATGGAGGCCGCTTATGCAGCAGTCCTTTAATATGTTCCAGATGTAAAATTATAATTATGCTCCTTAAGATGAAAACTGCTTAGCAACATGACAGGACTGCACTATACAAAATGTATTTCCAATCTGACATAATCAATCACTTCAAGTGCTTGTATTTGGCGTGTGATATTAAATCAAAATTTTGAAGCAGGAAATGCAATACTTCTTACACGTAACTTGTTCAAACACTTGAAAATCTGACTTCACAAGAGCTGGATGTTTCCAGCACAATCCACATAAATTCCACATTTTATAAGATGCTCAGCCATTTAGGAACTTCAAGGTATATACTATCTTCAGCACCAACATTATTCGCAAGTCAAGTGCCAATTAAATTTAATATAAAGACAAATCTGTTAAATCTTAGTTGAAAACTAAAAGTAATTATATGAGAAGCATTATCTAGCAAAAGCTAGATCACACCTAGCTTACTGTTACCAAAGCCATGGAAATCTAACAAAACACTACAGTTGCACTTAAATGGTGCTAAGGTAAACACAAAAAGTCCCCCCCCCCATAAAAATTTGGGCGATACACACACACACACACACACACACACAGTATGTATGAGATAAGTGTCTCTGGTTTGGATTCTATGGAGTATTTTCATAGAGAAAGCTGACATTTTTCATTGAACTGCTTGTCTGCAGACGACCGACCTATGGCTTCTATTATATCATTCCACAGATTTTAGAGCAACATTCTTTGTATTCTATTTTCTTTCAGCAATTAAATAATCTGTGTAGAACATTACTACTCTTAAGTTACTATAGGATTCTGACGATGGTGTATAACACACAGAGATATTGGGTTTTCGGACTTTATCCATCATCCTGGTTTTTGAATTGAATTTATTTACATTCTATAAATCCTAAGCAGGTTAGTACCTTTGGATACAGAACAAGTCAAAAGGTTACATACATAAGTACAGGCAATTTTAGCTTAAAAATTAATATAACTTAATTTTACATCATTCTCTATTTACATTGAAGTATTCATCTAAAGAGTAGAAGGAATGAGCATGTAGATAATTCTTTAACTCTGATTTAAACTTTTTAGTATCAT